TCCAGGTGACTGCTAGCAAGTAGTGAAGAAATACCAAATCCTCCGGTTCTGTGTTGTCATATCTAGATTTTACCAGTCCTGCTTGGGGCTTCTCACTTCAGTATCTTTATAAAGCAAGATGGTCTGGCTGTATAATGAGAAAGTTGAACAGTCTCCCATGTAGCTTGTTGAAGGACCCTAACTAAGAAAGAGATTTGTTTTCAGAAACACAGTGGGATGTAATAACTGTAAGCCATGTCTGAGAATTATTTTTCTTCTAGTCATTTGTTGCATTTAGAGTCTTTCCCTTGAGGTTTCTGTTGCTCACCATGAAAAAAAGCAATTAAGAATCCAGAACACACTATTGACAAAGGATAAAACTGGGGAAGGATATAAAAAACAGAACTAAATACAAATATAGACAGGTATTTTGATCATGCTCTGTTACGTTTTTAGTGTAACCCCTGAGTTTAATCTTCGCTTCTTTTGTTTTTAAAAAAAGATAAAAGTTATTATCAGGTTTTCAGATTTATGCAACATTTTATATTTGCACTGGCATTTGCTTTTTATGTGCTTTTTTTAAAATAGATTTTTCCACACCAATATGTCTTGCAAGAGACGACTTCTTCTCCACAGTGTTTGTTCACGAACATTTATTTGTGTGCTACCCATCTCGCAGGAGAGAAAGAATTGCTTTATAAATCCCATTTTACAGATGGAGAAAGTGAGGCTTCAACAGGGATAGTGTTTCATTCAATTATTGTTGAAGTCAGGAAGGTAAATGACAGGATAAAAACATACATCATTCCTATAAAGAGACCAGAATGGCTCTGCAGACTCATGAAGCTCCTTTAAAAAGCATCATTATAGTCACTCCTAGATACTTTGAAAGCCTGGGAAGGATGCTCCAATTTCAACAGAAAAACCTCTATGGTACCTGCAGTTTGACAAGAGCAAACTCTAGTAAACTGTGGCACCGTATTCATTTTGGCTTGATCAACATTCATCAAGAGAAATCAGAAGCATCTTAGAAAGCCCACTTTCATATAAAATCTAATAATCGGGATAGAAAGTGCTGCCTAAGCAGAAGAAGTTAAGTTATATTCCAAACAATCGATGTCATTCCTGACATGAAAGGGGCACTACAATAGAAGGATGTTGGCTCGGCATCAGGCTAAGACTAACTGAAGCCTTAACTTAGGTAGCAACCCTCTGTAGCATTGCCAGGCCCAGCATCTTTGGAGGAGCTAAACTGCAAACGAGCCTTGTCTATCTCTGCTTTCTCAGATTTCTGTGAGTCTGCAAGATGCAGGTTGTGCTGACATCTTTCGTACAACTTCAAGGATAGTAGCAAGGCTGGTTATGAGGGATCAGATCACAAGGCTGTCTTTCATTGAGGAATCTCGTTGGGTTTCATCCTTATCGGAATCTCCTGCATCTAGACCTGGGATAAGGTTGCCAAGATCCTTCCTTTCGCCTCTGCTAACATTTTATTCATTTAATTTGCTTACACTTTCATGCAAAAGCAACCATAGACTCCAAGCTTTTGCAGACTGGACTACAATTGCGAATGTAAATGAGCCTTCCTCTAAATGGGAATGATGGGAAAGCTAGCCTATTTAGCATTGCTTAGCAAATGCTGCTTGCTAAAACTGAAAAGGCCTCCATCCATCCCAATCCTGCTGGATTTATTTTGTCATGCGGATCATAAACAAGATGACAAACACAAACAGCTTGGAAAATGCCTATCATTCAAAGTATTTGCTTCATACTTGCTTCAGATCTCTTGCATTCTTCCGAGCTGCCAGGGAAGCTAAAGGAATAATCAATTTGGGTGTCCAGATAAAGATCTAAACTGTCAATTTAACTTGTCCTTTCCTTTCCCCTCACTTCTATTTCTTCCATTAGATTCAAAAGCTGTCAGGAACAAATCAAAAAATCAAAGGAAAACCTTCCCGTTCTTCATTTACACAATTGTGTGTAGCAAAATATCCCGGGTGTTAGTGATGGCTCTGGCTATAGACCGAAAGGAAACAGGCTAGAAAGATGCATTTTTTAAAATAATCTTTTATTGTTCAAATGTTGATCGTTCCTATGACCAAAGTCCAAAGGCAACCCGATTTAACCTGGTGATTCCTACTACCCTCTCCTTTCAGGCAGGACTTCCTGCTGCCATGGGTACTGGGTAGTTGCCCTGAGGCCTCGAGGGAATGTGAGCTGTTTTTGAGGTTATATTGGCATGTGGAAGGAATTGACCATAATCTGCTATGCTGGTCAAATGTGGGTTGGCAGATGTGATTGGTGTTGGTCTGGGGTATCTATCGTGGCCTGTTCACCTTGGGAGACCCTTCTGGATATATACATGTCCGATGACATAGTCTACAATTTCATTTACTCATACAAGCCCTTTCGCCTTGTCAAGATCCTGATCATAAGAAAGGTAGACTGTATTCCTTTGCCACTTATCATATATAACAAAAATTCCTCAAGTCAGTGTTTTAGTGGCACTGGCATAAAATAATCCCATTGTATGATTTGACTCTGATTTCTACTCTCCTCATTACATTATATATTTAGCAGCCATTTCTGGTGTCACAGTTCCAAAGCAAATACCAGCGTTGGATTATTATTTTTTCTGATAAGAAAAGTGGGTCTTTCTTGGTGTGAGAGGGTATATTCTCTTTCGGGCATGCTAATTATAGCTAGTATTTTGCTTTGTCTTTCTGAAAATGTCCTGGTCGATGTGATGGAGAGATTATCAGGAAGGTCTTGGGACACTGCTATGTTGTAGAATTGCAGAAGAGACCATTATAATCATCTCCTCTTCCAACACCTTTATTTAGGAGAGCCTGATTGACTTGCTAAGAAGCTTAGCTGGATATGGCAATGGAAACTCAAATTCCCTTGGATTTTGTTGGTTAGAAACAAGAGGGATATTGAACTAATACAAGACATCCATTTCTTCTGTGCTTTGGACCATGTATCTGCACATTGTAACATCAAGTTCATGCATGTCTCTTTGACAATATTAGACAATATGAGATATGCATAATCTGTTGGTTTTTTCCCAACCAGGGAACAAAAGACAGTGGATTCCCCACAGCAATATATTTGAGCAGCATATGAGCAGGCTATAAACTTGAAAGAAAACATTCACATTAAGCAAGTTGGAGCTCATTATGGGAAATTCCCAGAGGTCAATGTCATTGAAAACCTCATTTTCCCAGGTTCACGGCTGCTATTGCATATAATGCAGATGCCCTGGGTACCTTTGGTGATGCTGGCTCACTGCTTAGTTCTCAACATTTACTCTCAATGTAAATGTAAGTGGGAGGAGAAATAAACCTATTACATAGGAGAAAAGCCTTGCCTGTGATCTTACGTGTAATAGCAGCCCAGGTAGTACCAAAAAGATGAAACAGGAATCCTTGTAGCATTCCTGTGTCACACAGAACAGTTTTCTCCAGAGTTGTGTTCTTAATTGACACGTGCTTAATTGTAACTATGATATAATTATTTCAGTCACTTTTATTTGTAAATATTCTGGATTCTTTCTTTTTTTCCCCCAGCTAGGCCAATTTGTCTAAATTTGATTTGGAAGTGGACTTTGGAGCATTATCCCTTCTGCAAAATGCATTCTTTTTTTTAGAACTGTGCAACATCTCTGAGCTTCATGTTTCCTTGAAAGCAAAAACGTTGATGCCTGAGCATTAGCTCAGGCTCTGAGTCATAGCATTCAACCAGTAGCTAAAAGATATTTTGTGGTATTCTGTATTGCAGCAACCTCAGAAATAGAATTTGCTCATTAGCAAGCTTTTACATTTCCCTCTGCACCAGGAGTGTAAACTGTAAAGTTCTCAATGCCAACATGGCCCAAGTCCCACCTCCTCCCCAAATTCAAGCTGGACAAATAAATGAATATGGATAGATGTACAGATAATTTTGCCTTTTTATACTCAGAAAGCATAATGTTCTGATTTAAACACAGCCATCCAAAATAAACCATTAAATAAACATTCAATTCAATGTGCTAGGTTCTGTTCTATCAGTTCTGTTCTGTTGAATTAGTGATTGGCTAGGTTCAACTGAAAAAAACTCTGACAAAAGAGTTTTGACCAGTTTAAATGCAAGATTTACTTTTTATTTTGAGTCAGCTGGGTGTAGCAGTTAAGGTAGCAGGAGACCCTGAGTTCTCACCCTGCCCCAGGTCCTAAGAAAGAGGTAATGGCAAACCACTTCCAAAATCTTCCCAACAGAACCGAAGAGATTAGTCCAAGCAGTTGCCAGGAATCAACATTGACTCAAAGGCACAAATGAAATAAAAAACGGCTTACCTTTTATTTGGAAATGACATGCAAAGTAGCTTGCAAATCAGTATTAGCGTTTAAAAGGCTAGTGTCTTGTAGGAACCCTACGGGGGGGGGGGGGATGAAAAAACATTTGGTTTCTCTTTGATTGTTTGCATTATTCTCTGGTTTAATCTTTGTCAATAACTCATATGGAAAATAGAAAAATGTTGTTGCTATCACATTTGCCTAGCAAAACAAGGAAAGCCTGTCAAAATATTCTGTTACTCTAATTTGGACCACTCCCTTCTTTCCTTCGCCACCTTGCAGCTCCTCACAGTTTTCCTTTTAACAACTTTCTCATTTTAGGGCTTTGTTCTCTTTCTAGCCTACATTGGTGAAAATCTTTATATTTAAAATGAGCTATAGTCCGACTTAAATTGTCAGCAGGCTTTGTTTGATATCTCATTTACCATTCCTGGTACACCGTAGCTGAAATCGAATGAGGGAAATTTAAAAGAAACAGAGGATGCTTATTGTAGATCCATTTTTATTTGCCCAGTTCCCGGAATCTGCTTGTTTTTCCATAGGATTTTGAGAGCAGCCATTATTTAACTCTAGCAGAATTCAGAACTGGGAACCAGATATATAAGAGCATTGACTCTCTTTGGGTATGCGTATTTGTAAAATAATAATAATAATAATGCTGTGTGCTGTGCTTTATCTTTTTCCCAGGAGCAGGAATGGTGGTGGATTGGGAACAAGAAACCGGACTTCTCATGACTTCCGGAGATGTGCGCATCATCCGAATCTGGGATACAGATCGAGAAATGAAAGTGCAGGTAATCTCACTGCCCCCCGTATCTCTTACTAATCAAAATAATTTGTGGCCTGTTTTCAGTACTATAAAAGCATGAGAAGAATGCGAAGAAAAGCTGTTCCATGTTATCTGTTCAATATGAGCATAATAGAGCTGGAAGTTAGATTTGGGAAGTTAGGAGAAGAGGATGTATCTGGTTGATATCCCTGTGATGACCAACCTCAGGCAAGTATCGCCTCTACCCTCAGTGCTTCTTGAAACAGCATCACTTCCTGTGTACATTGAGTGTACATGAGCAAGAAGCACAGTCTTCCAACGTACAGCACACCCAGCCACAGAGGATTTGGGTTTTGGCCTGCCTACTAGCAGCTGTTACTAGTATAACAATTTCTTTCCTTTATCATTGGCCCCTGGAATACCACCATCTCCGTTCTAACCGAGTATGCTCAGAGACTGCAAAACATGGGAAGGTCAGCAAGGGGAAGATCAGTGAGCCTCTGCCCATTGATGGGTTGCCTAGGCAGAGAAACACACTTAAGAAGCCAATCCTGACATTTTGCAGCAGTATTCTAACCAATTGCGCAGATCCTGTCACCTGGGCTAAGTGTGTCCAGGGCCCAATAAATGTCCCACCGTCCTCCTCGTCCTCCTCATCATGACTTTCCTGACTCTGAAACCACACATACACCCCCCACATTTCTTTTTGCCATTCTTTATCATTGTTTTGGGAATTAAAAATGCTAGCAAGCAGCAAGAAGGGCTGAGTGTACCAATTGTGGTGAGGTTTATGGCTGGTGAGGCACTGACACAGGGGTTTCAAATTTTTTTAGACTTGTGGACTTCAACTCCCAGAATTCCAAAGCCAGTCATGCTCAGTTCTGATTTAAAGCAACAGCATTTTTTATCCTTTGTGAAATAAGTTTTCCTTCATTCTTTTTCTTCTCCCTCCCCCTCCTCCCTCCCTCTCTCCCTCCCTCCCCCTCTCTCAAACAGACACATGCACACAGAGAAGTTGGATCCCTCTCTCACTCACTCTCAAACAAACACAAACACAGAAGTTGGATTGGATATATTTTCCAATGGTTTGAAAGCAGCTCCTCTGCCCCATTCCCCTGCTGCCTTCCGATCCGAGCCTTTGATTGCAGATGGAGCCATGTTGCCTTTTCAAACTTGTAATCGGTGAAGCTGGGTTTATATACTTTTATCCAGCTGTGTGTGTGTGTGTGTGCGTGTGTGTGTGTGTGTGTGTTTGAAAAGGCAATGTGGCTCTGCATGCAATCAAACTTTTTGAATTCCTCCCTCCTCCCCACATACGCATCTTTTCCAGAAGTTTCAGAGAGGATTTCAACTCTGCTCTTGCCTGCCATCATGAAAAGAAAAAAAATGTAAAAGGAAAAAGGCAAGAGCTCTGAGGTCAGACTGAGCTAGCTGCTCCCAGAGCCTCTAAAAACGCCCTCTACAGGAGGCAGGAGAACCACATGCCTCATCTACATAAGGAATTTTTCGGCTTTTAACCCTTGCTTAGCTCTGCTCGAGTGATCATAAAGTCAGACTAAATGAAGCACCTCGTTCTCCTGCCACCCCCTGTAGAGGGCACTTTTTTAGAGGTTTTTTTTACATAGTTAAGCACTAAGCAGAGTCATCCACTGTGACTCTGGCAGCAACTAGCTCAGCCTTTTTCCTTTTACATTTTTTTTTCTTTTCATGATGACAGTGGTGAGGCCCTGCCTCCCCTGCCTCTCCTGACTGCACATCCCTGACCAATTGGTGTGCTTTCCTGGCACGCAAAACATTTTTGGAGCTTCTTTTATCCAGAAATTGCCCTGCATGGTAATGATCATCTCCCCCAGACTTTCCTACACCTGTTTAGAGCCTTCCACAAATCAGTATTTTTCTTATATCTGCAGCCTGAAGAGCCAATTCTTTGCTTCTTGTTATAGGCATGAAGAATAGGAAAGAAATGCATTCATTCCAATATTCTTGATATTTCCTTATCCACACTATTCTTGCAAACAGTAGATCTGTTTACATCAATTACCATAAAACCAAATCTTTTCTTCAGATATACACATTTATGTGTATATAAGCCACTGAGAGAAGTAAATACTTTTTAATAATATTTTTATTAAAGTTTTCAAATACTTGTTTGCTGTTGTATACAACTCAGAAACATCTCTTGTGAATTGGGTGACCATATAAATACAATTGATAAATTAAAAAAAAGATAAAATAAACACAAACCAAGAATAATATAAAAAAGAAAAATTACAGAGAATAAAAAATATATATAATAAAAACTAGAATTGTATAAAGAAATTATTCACTTCTTCCTTCAGATAAGTACAAATAACATTAATAATTTATCACGTTCTCTGATATTTCAGTAAAATATATATTCTTCCCATATCTCATGTCTTATTAATAGATGAATTATAAAGTCTTGTCATTCTAACCAGCAGAAGTTTATTAAGATTTATAATAGCATTGCATAACATGAATATTATTAACCTTAATCAAATAAATCCACTTTATATTCCTTCTGTTAACTTTAAAAAAGCTTGATCTTTAATCCCTTCGAATAAGTCCCACAAGTAGGGATTCCAGGCTGATTCCTCTTTTAACTCTTCTCCTAAGTTCTGCTACTCTTCTACACAATCTTCTAGTTACCTTTTTTCTTTTTATCCCCCAAAAAAATCTTTTAAAAGTCCTTAAATGTGCATGAAGCATTTTCCATCAAGGATAGAAGGAAACTCACCCAATGTAATGAAACTTGCTCTTTTGTAGGTCCTTAACAATAAAAAAGCCATTAACAAACAATTTTCTGAAGTGGTTAAAAGAGGAAGTGTCAGTTTGAAGGCACCAAACCGCAGCTTAGACAAAATGGCCCTTTACCTGGCCCTCAAACGCTAAAGCCCACACTCTGGACCGCTACCTTATGATCTCTCATGGGAACCTCTGAATGGAGCATTTGTGGGTGGTTCTTGCTCCAGGGAGGAATTCCAAAGGGGTGAGTCCTTCCCTGGATGCTCTTCGTGCCGCTTTTCAAAGAATCATCCTCAGTCCGCTGTTGCTTCCTGGAAATCTGCCACAAAAATAAAGTATGATCTCCGAAGGTTTTGGAAATTAATTCTATCTGGCTGATAGTAATTATAACACTTTGACCCAGCAATGCAATTCAACTAAGATGGTGCTAATTTTAATTATTTTCAAATAGCATTTAATCTGTATAAATTAGAGAACATCAGAAATCAGGAGGATGAAAATATTTTAAATGAGGGTGATTATTAATTGTACAAAAGGCTTCCAACAGTGCTTCATAAACTCAAACCTGAATCATTCAGCAGCATCTGGCACAGCAGAACTGTAGAAATCAAATGTGCACATGTCGGTACCTGTTGCTAACCCACAGATTTATACATGTAAAATTTGTTGTCAGGCTATCCATTGTGATGCCCATGAAAAAAGATAACATCCTTCATCATTTAAATCATTCGTTTATCTTTTGAGTGCCTATTAAATCTTAAACTCTAACCCTAAGAGTCTTCTTGCAGAGGTGAGTTGCTCGGTTCAGCCGAACCGGTAGTGGAATTCCAGCCAGGGTCGCAGAACTGGCAGTGACCCATGCTTGCCACTCCTGCATGCATGCAGAACAATTTACATTGAACAGCGCACGCTGTGCAACGTGTGTCTGGTGCACTTCTGTTGAGCTTTGGCTTTCTGGAAAAAAAGGAATTTACTGGGGTTGCATTGCCAGTTCAGCTAAAATCAGAAGCTAGCAGGAATCATTTTCTCATCCCACAATCTGGCAGTGAGTTACTCAGGAACAAGAAGACAAGGGTGGGTTGCTGCCAGTTTTACTACTGGTTTGCAACCCCCACGCGCCCCAGCACCCCATTGGTCACTGCCAGTTTAGGCCACTGCCATATTACACCTGCTTAGAAGATGATGAAAATTTTATATCTATATCTCCCCCTCACAGTGCTGCAGATTGACAGATAGGTTTTGAATGCTGCCTACATATAAGAACATATATTTGAGTCGTGAATCAATATCAGCTATAACGGGTGAAGAATGGAGTGGGTAGTAGACTATAGCAATAAGCCCTCACCCCTCGGCAATGTTACTTTCCATGTAACCTACACATTTGCTGACTCACCTAGGTATTTCTTCCTGTAACACCTTTGGACCAGTGATTCTGCTTGCCGTGGCATGTTCAGGATAGGTTTCTAATCTGGATTGCAGTCTGGAATGAGGGTATTTCATAAAGAGCACTGCAGTGACTTCCCAACGCTCTGAGATATGGGTGAGGGGGGTCTCTTGATTTGGAAGTCAGAGCCTTTGTGTTGTAAGAAGTCCTCTATGACAGTGTTTTTCAACCACTGTGCCGTGGCACATTAGTGTGCCGTGACATAGTGTAAGGTGTGCCGTGGGAGAATTACTTTATATATAGTCAATATAGGCACAGAGTTAATTTTTTTTAACATTTTCCAATGGTGGTGTGCCTCGTGATTTTTTTCATGAAAAAAGTGTGCCTTTACACAAAAAAGGTTGAAAAACACTGCTCTATGAAACTCTAGCATCTCAGTAGAAACCTGGCCGTCCCTTGATAGCTGTCTCCAGCAAACTATTAAATAATTTTAATTGAGTAAATACAAATATAGCAGTGATTAAAAATAGAAAGGAGGTATTAAATTCACTAAGCACCATTCTGCAGAGCTGAGTCTGACTATTACTCAGTTCTATGGCTGCTTAACTCTAACTTGTTTTCTTTGTTAACAGCTGTGCTCTTATTATTCCAAGCAAATCTTTTGTCTGTAGTGGGGAAAAAATGCTCCATCTTTGGTTAACATTATTGAGTGTCTTCCCAACAATAGCCCAGCTTTGTTCTTTGGATTTATTATCTTTTAAAGGTATTCTTTAAAAAAAAAAACCATAGCCCTGACTTTCTGTGCAAGTCATTTTCTGCAGAGCGGCAACATATGATGCTCTGATTCCTCCAACAGCCCATTAAAGCTTCCAGATTCTCCTCTGCCCTTAACCATGGCCTTGCACCTGTTTTTTAATTACCTTTTTATTTAAAATATCCCTCATAAAAGCAGGAAGAACATTCCTTGCCTGGAAGAAGTCATAAAGCCTTATAAAAACTACTCACTCCAAAGTTTGGAGTTTGACAGTATAGCAAAACATTTTCTGGGAAAGTCCTTTTCTTCTTTCTGGAGGAAATAAGAGGATTTGGAGTTCAATATCCTTTATAGACTCCTGTAATCTTGTAAAATGCCATGCAGTCATGGTGAAATAGGAAAAAGTTAGCAGCGGCCACAATTCTCTTTGGAGGGCTATCACTGTAAGTGAGTCACCTAGCAGGTCATCAATCACTCTTTAAGGCTCAAGAAACAGTGGCTGTCAAACAGGATTATTTCTTGAATACTCAGGACCGTTATCTTCCAGTAAGAAGCTCCAGCTACTCTTCCACTGGGGTTGGGTTTCCTTCTTATGCCACTTTGCTGTTGGCATGGAGCAAGTGTAGATTTATTAGAGAAAAGTTGTGCTTTAAATTGCCTTTAGCTTTCTGCCCTGCCTTTCCATACAGTGTGCATAACTGCTGCGGAGCCAAACTGAGCGGGGGGGAAAAGGACATCTCAGAGACATTTATTTGATTTTTATTAAACTCATTCCTTTGAAATGAAGAGCTGTTTCCCCTGTTTGTTATGAGGCAGGACTGGGTCACTGTCTGAGTACACATATGGAGAAACTGATGGACTCTGAAGTCTTCTCACATATATTAAAGTCCTTTTTGGACATAAGTGCCTCGAAACAAAAAAGAGAATCACAATCTCACTTTCACCTATTTCAGCATGATTGTATACTAGAAGTCATCCCAATGTCTTTTTCGGAACAAAGTCCATGGGCCACAAAGTAATTTGTGGAATACCCCTGCGGCATCTTTTGATTTTCTTTTGTTATTGCTGTGCTTTAATGTTGCCCACATCTGAATTACAACAGCACTTGTAGTTTGCTTCTGTAAAAGAGGCCAACAGCAATAACTTTGTAAACTACACTAAGATAAAATGACACAGCTCATAAAAACTAAAAGAGTTCCCACAGCCCTAAGATGCTTGTTATGTTACGGCATATACTTCAGGGGAAAATAATCTAATGCTCCTGCTGTGGAACTCTTTTACTACCTCCAGTGGAAGTGGGTAACAAATTACCTTTCCGGTTAAAAATTGCCCAAGACAAATGCATACTTACCATATTTTTCAGACTATAAGACGCACTGGTGTATAAGATGCACCAAGATTTTGAAGAGGTAAGTAAGAAAAAAAGTTTTTGCCTTCCCTCAGTGCCCAGGAGCACTCTGCAGGCTTCAGCAGGGCTAGGGGAAGGCAAAAACGCCCCCGTTTTTGCAAAAAATGGTCTGTTTTTCGCAAAAATGGGGTGTGGGGGCAAGGCTTCAGGAAGCCCAAAAATGGCTGTATTTATTGATAAGACGCACCAATGTTTCCACACTCTTTTGGGGGGGGCGAGGTGCATCGTATACTCCAAAAAACATGGAAAGTAACAAAAGGCACATGGCCCAAATAACAAGAAAGATAATCATGCAATCAGTCAGCATAAATAAAATTGGAAAGTTATAGTAAAGGAGAAAGTTGTTATTAATTTGCAAAAATAAAATAATGAGGAAGCCTGATTGTACAGACACTGTTAAACCCACAACAGCCCCTCATACCCACAACGGCTAGATTCTGAGTCTTTTTGATCAGATTTATTGTATTAAAAGGGGAATAGGTTGCAGAATCTTGAAACTGGATGTATGTATTTGTGTGTGTGACTTTCGCAAGTCCCTGTAAGTTTCTTGACAAGGTTTTTTGGAAGGGGCTTGCCAACTCCTCCCTAGAATTGAGAGAAAATGGCTGGCCCAGGTCACCCAGCTGACTTTGTATCTATGGCGAGGCTGGAACTCACAGTCTCCTGATCTCTATCCTGATACCTGTAGATGTTCCAGCCTTGTAATGTTTTTCAAACCACTTTTTTCCCCCAAAATTCTGAGAAGTCTACAATATGAGTACTTGCCACTCCCCTGCAAAGGCCACTTCTATGGTGACCTATCCATGTTGCTTAATTAAACAGTCATCTATAGGGCACCAAGTTAAATAGGGCATCAGATGTTGAAGAAGAAGAAAAAAATTAAAAATGAATATTTATCCCTTTTTTGAAAACAAAATCTTCTCCCTAGATCTGCTGTTAGATTTGGAACTGCTGAATTAAGGGATTTCAAGGTGGTGAAAAGGGAGTTGTGTGACTTGCCTAGAATCTTAGTTGCTGGAGCCTCCCCTGTGGCAGGGATGAACAGCACTTTTGGACCTCAGGGCCACATGTGGCACTTGCCAGTGGTTTTAATTTGACAGATATTTGCAGGTGTATACTAGAGATCTCATGGGTGTTTATTGCAGCAAGACAGACTATCTTGAGACCTTGTCTATGTCTCTCTCTATGTCCTATCCTAACTAAACAAAATCAATATTTTGACACCTCCCCCCACCTTCTCAGCACTATAATCTTTTCTGCAAAGTTATTATTTCCTCCCCTATTAAGTGCAGACTCGCTCATACCTTTCCTATCCCCAGATCAGCTCTTACTAGCTACCGTCAATTAGCAATGCGGAAAACATGATATTTTTTTCCACATTAGGATTGCTAAAATGAGCTTAAATCTTCAAATACATAACCACACACACACACACACACACACACACACACACATGGAGGGAGGGAGGGAGGGAGGGAGGAGAAGGCCCTCCTTAAGAAAGGAAAAATTGAGCATTCTCAAAGATCAGCAGACTCAGCCAGATGCTGGGCATGTCCATGATGCCAACTCCTGGGTAAAACTTGGGATCTGTCACTGTCTGGCTGTGGCAAGTGTCAGTAATAATAATAAAGAAAGTTCCAACTTACTGTGGTGGGCACTACATATATATATATATATATGGAAATCTTTAAAATCAAATCGGCGGATCTTTTCCCTGTACCTAACACCATGGTTGCGCCTTTGCTTCTAAAATTCTGCTACAGTTGATAGGAAATGAGGGCAATATGAGAAACCTCCTGTGAATGCCGAAGATCTACGTATATTGTACTCCACTTGGGTATTAGGTGGAGTAACTTGGGATGATCTCCAAATGGTACTATTAACATATGGAAAATATGTTTTAGACACATATTTTGTGACATATGCTTGAGAAAGGCAAAAGTAGAAAGGTGATACAGAGTAGTACACTGAGTGGTTTTTTTAGGTTAGCTCCTGAATTTGAATGGATACCTGTGTCACTGCTTTTCTCTCTCCCTCTTCCCCCCCCCCCTCCATCTCGCTCCCTAGATACACATGGGAAATTACTTTTTCTTGACATTATATAAGTATCAAATAACTCTCAGTTTAAAATATTGGACCAAACTGCTTGACACATACATACATACATGCACGCACGCACGCGCACAAACACACACACACACACACACACACACACACACACCTACAAGTATAAAGGTGAAAAGAGTTTGTCCTATTTTAGTGACATGGCATCTGGGCTGAATAAGTATAATGTGCTCTGTGTATTGTCTTCTAAAATAATTTGAAAACATCAACTGGTGCAAATGCACTAATAGGCGATGGGAATTCTTCGAACCATTCAGTCTTAGGCTATTTATTGACCACTTTGTTGTTTTAAGTGTTTGGAACATTTGACATACATATTTTACAAATCCCACTGTTGAATTTCAAAGCCCAAGCAGAATGCATGTATTGACCTTTAAAGTTATAAACAGCCTAGGACTGAATGGTTTGAAGAATTGCCATCACCTATTAGCGTATCCACACAGAAAGATTAATATCCGAGGCCCTAATGTTGCATTATAGTAACTAGTACAATATTGTATCATTAATAAGAACAATTACATTAGCAGTAATCTCTCATGTGTGAATTCTATTCCACTCAAGATTTGTCAAGCTTAAAATGGGAAATAAATCCTATATTATGCTCTGCCTCTTTTCAAAATATTTTCATCGTGATGCTATATTTATGATGTGGTTTAGCTTGTGATTTTTTTTATTATCTTCTGTGAATTTGCATGTTTGCATCTGCTTTAAGAGACAACCTATGCTTTTTGAACCAAATAAAATATATGGCCAGCAAGACTGCAGCTTTGAATTGCTATTTTAATGTTTTAGGATATTCCCACGGGGGCTGACAGCTGTGTCACCAGTCTGTCCTGTGATTCTCATCGTTCGCTCATTGTAGCAGGGCTTGGAGATGGCTCCATTCGGGTTTATGACCGACGGATGGCTCTGAGTGAATGGTAAGACAGACATCTCATTCCTCCCATCAACAAGGGGACCTTATATTTGTTCTGACTACTGGTTGGCTGAGGGGCTAGGCATGAAGTAAGAGCACTTGCTCCAGCAGTGTTCCACAGATTACCATCAGTTGCAAAGATTATTTTCCTCTTCTCTCTTTCCATATACATCTTAAGCTTGGATGAATTTTAACAACATAGGCCTTCCTATATGGGTGGGNAGGCTTTGTTTGAAATTCCAGCCCAGATGACCTCCAAGTGCTTCCAAGATATAATTCAGACTGTGGGGGCAATATGCTGACTCTGTAAACCGCTTAGAGAGGGCTGAAAGCCCTATGAAGCGGTATATAAGCCTAACTGCTATTGCTATTGCTATTGCTATTTTGCTGGCAGAAGTGCCACAGGCGCCCCTGATACAAGTGATGTTGAGCTGCTCACGCCTACCGAGGTCAAATACAACCTGATGTGGCCTTCAATGAAATCGAGTTTGACACCCCTGCTCTACAGTTAGTTTCATAGCTAACTGATACACTGTTTAAAAAAGAGCTGAAAGTAAATAAGAGACCAGAGAGCCCCTTATTCTACTAAACAAGAGACCAGAGAATCACTTATTCTACTAAAAATGTGAAATAGGCTTTTTGAATGCAGATATAAATAGTTTATTTGGTCTTGCATTTTTAGGTTTGTGTATCCTGACTGAGTCATACCTATAATTTAGATATTTCTTCATCTGTTCATTAATGAGTGGGAGTTGTAACTTTTTGACACTGATGAAACTCTTTGTAATGTATGATATTGAAAGTAGTGAAAGGCCAAATTTCCAAATAAATAGCATCCACCTACATAAACCTACTGCAGAAATGCTGGGAATTAGTTTGATCATCTGCACCAAGGGGAGGCAGTGAACATGGGTAAGGATACTAGTCACAGTGCCCACTAGGCTACCCAAATCAGGTAAGGTTAGGTTTTTATTACATTTTAAATAAAAAAAGAAGGAAAGGTAGCATATTGCAAAATGAAGTATGCGAAGTGAGTCTGAGCCTTATATGAGTTATGATTTTTCAGAAACAAAATATTTGTAGAAAGCAAAAAAAAATACTACAGATTTCAGTCCTTTGGTTTGTTTAGAAGTATGCCTACTTACCTCAAAAGAACTGCATCATCAATTTAACTTCAATTACGTTTGACTATTGAATTATAATATATCAGTCTTCCATATTATCTGATTCACATGATATTTGGGGTACTTAGCTATACTAGATGACTAAGAGTCGGGGTGGTTTTCTCGCCCCGTTCCAACCGGATCGGTTGGAACGAGGCCGACGGCGTCCGCACGCAGCGCACGCATGCATACTAGCATCTGCGCGATGCTCCAGCTGCTCCTGGAGGATCACGCAGGTGCTGTATGCGTTCTGCGCATGCGTGGAAAGCGCAGAATTCGTAAAAACCGGGTAAGGAGCGGGCGCGGGTGTGCGGGCGCATGCGGGCGGGGGGGGCTTTGCCGTTCCTGGAAGTTACTTACTTCCGGGTTCGGCGACCAACCGGATCGCAGGGACCGGTGCGAACCGGTCGAAACCCACCCCTGCTAAGAGTAGACAATTCAAACCAGATACTGTAAATAGCTGGATGGTGAAATAACACAGACAGTAATTATGCAGATAAAATATAGCTACCAAAAAAGTTACAGGTAGTCCCCAACTTATAGCTATTTGTTTAATGACCATACAAAGTTACAAGGGCCCAGAAAAAGTGACCTATGACCAGTTCTCATCCTTTTGCAGTATTCCTACAGTCCCTTGATAAAACTTTGGGTGCTAGATTTACTAGCATCCACAGTCCTGGGATTTCTAAACATTCTAGAGAGGTCCTAACAAGAAGAGTCAATGGGGAAGCCAGATTTACTTAACAACTGCATGATTGATGCGACAACTTTAGTGATTTACTTAACAACCATGGTAAAACGTCCATCAAATGGGGCACAACTCGCTTAACCTCTGCCTTGCTTAGCAATGGAAATTTTGGGCTCAATTATGGTCATAAGTCAAGGACTATCTGCATAGTATTTGATTTTTTAAAATTAGCTTGCATAACTAGAGTTACTGAAAATGTAAACTTTCTTAACACAGGTATATGCAATGGAACATTACCCCTTGGGGATGAATCAGCTTTACAATAACACTAGCATGATTTCAACTGATCTACCACTTCGAACAAGTAAGAGCCATTATTGCTTGCTTGATAACATTGATTAATAATATATTTATAGATAGAGAGAGAGCGCTATTTAGATATATTGATGATGAGGAATTTTTAACATTCTCCAAATATGGTTTTTGAAAACAAAAACACAAATTATGGGTGCCCAAGCTATGCATTTTAGCTATTCTATAGGACAGAGAATCTTAGCTAAGTTGGGAAAGGACATCTTGAAATATGTGACAATGAAAGGCATTGTCAAATAACATTCTGATCCTTTTTATATCACCACTGTACAATTTTTTCTTGTCTTTGTGTATGTGTCTGTTTGTGTGTAGGAGAAATACTTGGGAAATTTGGGGACTTCCTGAAAACAAATACCCTGTTCTTTGCAACTGTGCTAAGATGACAGGGTTTTTTTGTGTGTGGTGGTGGTAGTGGTGGTGGTTGCTATGGTCTGCTAGGCCTATTTCCCCAAATTAAAACACCACAGATGAGTTAAGAGCAAATCTGGGTGATTTTAACAACAGTGCAAGGAAGGAAGTATGAATGATTTTCATTCTTGTGTTCTTTATTGCTTGAAAAATGGGAATGGTAACTCATTGTCTCCTACAAGGAAATGTGTGAAGTGCCTCTTGATTTCCTCTTTGAATGTTAATCTCTTCTATTTATTACGTATGAAGATGATTTGGAAGATAAGGCTGTTGTTGAACTTTGGCTATTTAGCTGTTTAGCTTTGTGAGCTGTGTGGTACAATGCTTAGAATGCAGTATTGCAGGCTAACTCTGCCCAGTGCTAGGAGTCCGATTCTGACTGGCTCAAGGTTGACTCAGGCTTCCATCCTTCCAAAGTTGGTAAAATGAGGACTCAGATTGTTGGGTCAATATGCTGACTTTATAAACTGCTTAAAGAGGGCTGTAAAGCACTGCAAAGTGCTGTATATTTTGTTGTATTTTCAGAGCAAATGGTATGTTATCATGTTAAAAGGAAAGGAAAAGAAAGGAATACAAAGTTGGCTTATCTAGTTAAGGTTAAAACACACACATGCACATATGTATGTAAGTACATACTGTATGTATTTATGTATGTAGGTTATTTCTGGTAATTCTGGACTTTTGCTGAGTAAAACTGAGTGGGAGGTTTCAACATTTGTAGATAAGATATGAGATATGGGAAGAAGAGATATTTTGTTGTAAAATCAAAAAAGGTGAAAAAGTTACTGAAATTGTTTACTTGTCTTGGTAAAGAGTGAAGTCATTTCTTTATCTCTTAGCTTTTCATTACTATTTTTATTCTTTTAAAATTTTTACTTTTTATATTTGTATCATAAGTTTGTATTAGTTTTTTATCTCCATAAATTTTAATAAAGCTATTATCAAAATAATTTAAAACACCTAAAAATATTTAGCAAGAAAACAGCTTACGTAAAATCTGAGCAATTACGGAAAGTCTGCATTTCTTTTGTCTAAAATATTTACCAAAAGAGGAAGTATTTTTAATTGCAATTCTCTTGGGCTGCGAATTGTTCTTTAGAACATATGGCTTCTATTTGCTTTAATATCTCTTTGGGTCATCCCACTTAAAATATTTTTAAATCTTCTATTTATTATTTATTCCTTATTTGTTACTGGATGTTTATTTCCTTTCACTTTCACTTATTAATTGTTGTAATTTTTTATAAACTGGTTTATTGTTTTAAATTATTCTGCTTTGTGTATTCGTGGACCTGGACTGAAATTGCAATGTTTTTGTTTTAGTCTTGCAGCTGTTTGAAAAAATTAAATGATTTTTGTTGTCAATAAATATATATAGCTAGGTTAGGTTTATATGATTGTACCACTATTTTATTTTGTTAGGATTTTTCTTTGTTGAACATATCCACCAGGAATTACAGTCATATATATGTCTTCAGTTTCTTGAGACATTGTTTGCAAAATGTCTTCAGAAATATAATATTTGTATGAATTCTTCTGTTTTCTTCATTATCTTTTTTACTAGCTGATGGGCCATATCTTCAAATAATTGAACAACCTAAACAGGTAAGAGAAGAGAATTGTTTTCTTTTTTAATATTGAAAGATTAATAAATTAGCATAGTAAAAGCCCAACTATTTAAGATAATACTATACAAAAAAGACACATTTTATACAAAATTTATAATGGTAGTATGATTATCATAATAGATGAAAGTTTGGTGGTCTCAAATCATCTGTACCACAAATTGTATGAGAACTTCTTATCCTAACTCTATCTTCTGCTTTTAATATCTATATTTATTTCTCTTAAGAATATTAATTACAATAGTAAAAACTAATACATACTAAACTTACAGAAAGGGAAGAGAATTGAAAGAAAAAATAAAAAGGGCAAGAAAGAAAAGAAGAAAAAGAGAGAATATAATAAAGAAAAAGAAATATCAAAAGTCACTTCTAACCATCATAAATATAAACAGCTTTAATAACTCTTTGCCCTATAAGATTAAATAGATATATTTTCATCCCATAAAGTATCCCTTAACTATAAGCAATCCATAAAACATCAACTTTTCAATCATGGTATCAGCAAAAAGTCCATAAAAGATTGCCAGAACATTGCAAAAAGACATCTTATTTTAACCTTGGTCAAATAAACCAAATTTATATTTCTTCCTTTTACTTCTAATAGTCTTAATCTTTAATTCAATCAAATATTGCCATCGAATTTGATATCTCTTCAATTCATTTTACAGGAACATCCAAAAGGAAAAAATATGAAAAAAATGCAGGAATTTCAGCAGATTATACAGTTACAAATCATACTGTTTTGCTTCTATTTAGAAGCAATTCTGACATAAAAGGTAGCTGTTTTGCACAAATCCCTCATGCATTGAGCATGTATAGGGAAAATAATTAAACACAGAATTAGACTTAAAAATACAGGAAAAAATCAACTCAGTCCAGTTTGTATCTAACGTTTACCTATTTCTGTAAAGAATCTAGATTTGTGACACCACTTTACACCATTTTTCCTTAACAAGTCCTTCTTACTTCCATTTCAAACTTAAACCAGAAATTGGAGGGAAATTTGAATTCTGTCCCTTGAATCCAACTTCACTCTAGCTTCTTGGTCTCTTTCTCTCAGAATTCTGATTGTAGTTTTTTAAATATAAACATTTTCCCTCTGAACAGAGAAGGAGGCATTTCAGTAATTTGACTTTGGAGGTGACCCAGAACTCAAAAGAGTTGTCCTTCCTGCAGATGTAAATTTAATGTCTGAGATGAATGAATGCATATTAGACATGCCCGTGCCTGTCAGAGAAGGCTGCAAGTTTGTAAAATTGGCTGGTTGTTTGGAACCATTGGAAGTATACTATATTTTTTTGTTTTGAATGACAAGTTGAAAGGATATTGAAAAATTAAGCTGTTCTCTAGATGAAATATGTTTTTGACAAAGCGTTGTAAATGATACAGAATTAAGACAACTTAGCCTTGTGTAGCTGCTGTGCATGTTTCCAAAAACTTGCTTCCACAAACAAGTGTTTCCACAAACAAAATATGTGTTTCTACAAATGACTATAGGATGAAAAATAAAGAAACTAATACAATAGTGTAAAGCTTATAAAAGTTTTGCTAAAGGAAAATCAAAACTCCCAGCTCTCCCTTTTTTGTGGCACTCTTAAGACATGGGATTTTTAATTTAAATTTCATTAGTTTATTGTCTCAGCATTATCCCTAAATGTTACCGTTCATTATTGTTGTGCAGATATCTGTTTTTTACATTTAAATAACATTTTGAAATAATAGTTCTGATGTTTAAAAAAAAAGTCCAATATCCATGGGGAAGCATAGTCTTTAAGGGAATCAGCCAAAATGATACAAAACATGGAAAGCTTTAGTTGGTTTTAATATCAAAATGTCAATATTATAAAAAGCAGAAGGGTGGAGGGAGAAGAAAATTGACTTGGAATGTTGAAACATTTATGACACATTCTGAATGAAATTCTAATGTTAAAATGGGGGGAATGGATCAAAAGCTGCTATAAAAGCTTTAACGTTAGCTCTTCTTTTTCTTTTTTATTGAACAAGTATTCGGAGATAAATGAAAAAGTATTTTCAAATAAAGATAAGCCAGTAAGGGAAAAAAAGGAAACTATCACTATTATATTTAGAAGAACATTTCTATAGATGAAAATCATCTGCTGTGGAAGTATTGTTAATGTAGTCAATAAATAATAATCAGATTTCAATTTATCCTAAAAGAAAACACCAGAAAAGCATAGTTTATTTGTTAGGTTTAGTCAGCATCAGAATTTCATTCCGAATAGTTGATATTCATGGCCTTTTTTGTAGCATAAGATATCTCTAGACATATCTACTAGAAATTGCCTTTCAATTTTAATGTATAGTTGCCATTTAATGTACTTGATGGAAGGAAAGCATAATATTTATTGCAGTATCACCTGGATCTGTATTTGCTAAATTATTTAATTATTTCAATATTAAAATATTTAAAATATCTACAGTATCTACAGTAAATAGGTACAGTATTTTAATAAACAAGTATGTGAATATTTATCTGTACTGTATGGGATATTACTGATTTATCTAACTTATTGAGCAATTCATAATTAAATCAAATGTTCTTTAATTCTTCAAACCTAATCTCCTTAGAGAGGCTTTCGTTTCCGCTATGTTTGTGAAGGACCATCCCATGGTGGACTTCCTGGAGCTTCTAGTGAAAAGAACAAGAAGTCTTATCCACAAGTTAAAGTAAGTTAATAATATAATTACTATATTTAATATGGTTAATATTTATTCAACATTAATATATAACTGTATTATCTGTGTGGTACTCTACAGCAGGGGTCAGCAACCTGTGGCTCAGGAGCCGCATGTGGTTCTTTCATCCCTCTGCTGCGGCTCCCTGTTGCCGGTCAATGCCACAATTTTGTGAGGACCCTCTGGTGGTGGGGGGGGGGCAGCACTGCGTGCCAGGAGGAGACTTTATGGCAAGGGGTGGGTTTTCTGGTTGGCTCCACAATTGATAGGACTTTCGGTTAGGATAGATAGAGGAAAAATGATGCCATGTTAGAAGGAGACTCTATCGTGGGGGAACTGGACTTCCGGTCAGTTCCAGAATTGAATGGGGGGGGCTTCTGGTTAGGACCTTTGTGGCTCTTTGAATGTTTAAGGGTGCCAACCCCTGCTCTACAGAATAAACAAGGGCATTCTCTTCTGCTCAAAGTACAATGTATGTTTGTCAGAAGTGATTTTATTTAAAGTTCCTTCTATGGTAGTTTATAAACTTCATTGGAAATAAATGATAAATTAGGTTAAATCCCCAGTTGTACCAACATTGAGAAGTGAGGGATGAGAATTAGCCAGATAAGAATTAATTCAAAATCCACAATTACTGAGATCTTTTTGAGCTTGAAATTTTTTTCATAAAACAGCAAGCTCAGATTCAGGGGCATTTTGGTCTATTTTTATCCTACTGTGTTGTGATAATTGTTGACCGTTAACTCTTGCTTTGCTTTTCTTCACAAGCAGAGCAATAGCTTCATAAAAGGGTTATGTTGAGCAACTCCAACTCATTTCCTTAAAAATATCACAAAGGGGTTTGATCTTCATTTTCAAATCCTACCGTTTCCGAATGTGTTGGTTACTGTAAAGAAGATGCCTGTGCTTTTATATGTTTTGGCTAAAGTGTTACATATCTTCTCTCAGCTGCAGCTGAATTATCAATATACCCAGGGGTGGGTTCCTGTACCGGTTGGTACTGGTTCGCTGCGTGCACGCTAACAGCATTCTGTGCACCCCAGCATATAATCATGCCAGCCACATGACTATGGAAGTGTCTTCGGACAACACTGGCTCCCTCAGCTATATAATAGCAATAGCACTTAGACTTATATGCCACTTCACAGTGCTTTTACAGCCCTCTCTAAGCGGTTTACAGAGTCAGCATATTGCCCCCAACAATCTGGGTCCTGATTTTACGCATCTCAGGAGAATGGAAGGCTGAGTCAACCTTGAGCCTGGTGAGATTCAAACTGCTAGAATGCAGGCAGCCGGCTGTCAGCAGAAGTAGCCTGCAGTACTGCACTCTAACCACTTGCTATCACGTTTCTTATATAGAGTCCTAAAGGTGCTTTTTCAAAAGGCCATTGGACTTTCATAGTTTGGAAAACTGGGAAAAAACTTAAAAAGTCCACTTTTTAAAAAGTCCTTTTGAAAAGCATTTTTGGGACAACCATGATCTGAATGTTTGCAAATCTTCATAGATATTTAGGCAATGGAGATGAGCATAGCCCCTTAGAGTTGGACACAACTGGTTAGGGGAAACATTTTCTGTCTCCTAATTTATCTTTATGAAGGAACTTCTGTTTCTGGCAAAAAGTGAAGCTAGAGAGAAAAATGTTTCTCATGGAGATAAATAAGGTAATGTAGGGGAGCTATTCTCAACTATAGACATCTTTTGGGGCTCAAAATTAAGATCTTACTTTGCTTCTCCCAACATCTTTAACAGGGTTTGTTTGTGAATGTGTAAATATAGCTCTTTTTAGAATATATACATTGACCTCACATGTATTTATTAGAACTCTCTGAGAACGTTAGAACAAATAAACTTTTTGTTTATTTCATTTATGCTGAGTCTTTTTGGAAATTAATGTCAGAGATTTTCTCATATCTATGGAAATGCGCAAGGCATGTGGGGTTTTTATGGGTATTTCCCCTCTTATTTCATCTTGCCTTTAATCTTTTATCATAGTTATATTACTCAGTCTTCAATTCTGTATTTTTTTTAGCTGAGAAAAATCTGATTAACAATAGCTTTTGCTTCGGAATAGACATATAAGAAGTGCACTGTCAGTCTTTTTTATTTTTATTTCCAATTATTATATCTTTCCCCCCCTATTTTCTTTCTTCTCATTTATATAAATCTTTACACAACAATACCTGCAAAGAGAGTTTGGCAAATAAATATGGGGAAGTTCCTTAAGGCTACTTTAGTAGCTTGTTAGTACCTGTTTTTTATTTCAAGTTTAGCCAGTTGGTAGCTGGAATATTTTCTGTTCTGTTTCCTTCTGTGACTGTCTGCCTTCAACCAAAGTGCTTCATTTACACAAATGGAAAGACTTCCAGTTATTATTCAGAATTATTCAGATTCAGATTATTCAGATTATTAGTTTTCATGATCTATAATTATTATACTTCACATAAATTTGTTTCTCTGGAGTTTTCTCTGTTTGAGAGCTGTTGATTTATGCAGCACCATATTTTCAAATTAAGTATAATGATGTCACTTCAGGTAGCAACATACATAAATCCCCCCTCTCCCAAATTTTAAACTTTCTGGGTTTTATTATTATCAATATCCCATCTTTGGAGAATATGGAAGTCATAACAAAGCACAATCTGTCCTTTTTAAAAGCAAGTGGAGGCTGAAATTCCAAAAGAGAGCCAGTTTGGTGTAGTACTTCTAGCCTCAGGCTAGAAGACTATGAGTTCTAATCCCACCTTAGCATGAAACTAGCTGGGTGATCTTGAGCCAGTCACTCTCTGTAATTCCTAGGAAGAAGGCAATGTTAAATCATTTGTGAAAATGCCAAGAAAACTGCAGAAACATGTCCAGGTAGTTGCCAGGAGTCAAAAAGTACTTGAAAGCAATAAATAAATAGTATGAATCGCTGAAACAAGGAACAACACTAAGATTTCATTTGAGGGGCCTTTCCCACTCCCAAGTTATAGTGCTGCCTGCCTATTGTTGAATCAGTATAAAACTATACCAATAAATATGTTTTTCCTATGGCCGGTCCCCATCCTACCTTTATTGTTTCTGTTATCACTCTGGATCAACATATAGGTCAGTGGCCCTCAACCTCCAGGGACCAGTTCAGTGGAGGGTGGTTTTACCATGAACCGTGTGTGTGTGTGTGTGTGTGTTGTGTTGTGTGTGTGTTGTGTGTTACTTGGATGAGCAGATGAGGATTCGTTCGCTTCCATGCCCCAGTTCCTGGTAGACCAGGAACTGATACTTGTCCACAGACCCCGGTGTGTGTGTGTGTGTCGCTGATAAAGGTGACAAAAGTGTAACCGATATTATGCACTATAGGGGCTGCCTTTGTACAGTGTTGGAAAAAGAAACACAATACTATATCGAAAATACAACTAACAATAAATAATATTTGAATGCATAGATGAACACAAATGGATTGGAAATCTATATCTATAAAAATAGCTGTGTGTGTTTGTGTGTGTGTGTTTTCATTCATTCGTTCGTTCCAGCATAACTGGAACACTTCAAGCAGTTTCAACCAAACTTGGTACACAGGTGACTTACTCTCTGGAGAAAAATACTGTGGGGGTAAGACACCCCTAACATCCCTGGGGGGGTGTTCTGTTAAGATACAGCCTGTTGTGCCATACTATCATAATGGCTTCTACTGTATAGGACAGTGGAGTTGCCATGGTAACAGCTTCACAGTACTCCATAAGGAGACTCCCTCTGGTAAGGGGAAAAATCCAACATTAGGAATTCTGTTTGGTCCAGACATTTTTCCCCTATAAATAAATACCAGGCAACGCCAGGACTAGTAAGAGTATAAAATGAGCCACAGCTGGCCCATCTGAATTCAGCATTTTTTTTCTGATAGTGGGGAACCAGTTGCCCATAGATACCTGAAATGAATTTGGATAAGCCTGTTAATAGTTTTAAAAACTTTTAAAGTTGAAATATTAAACATTTTTAAAAAGTTTAATATGTTTTAAATATTCACTAATAATATGTTTAGGTTTGTATGTTTCCATTCCGGGAAACATACATTGGAATCATAATCATTGTATTAAAAAAGTTGTTTTTGGTATCACCATGACAGAATTTGTTCACACAGAATTTATGAGTGAAAGTTTTCATAACGACTTTTGCTTTCCTTTTTATTTCCTGTTCTTGTTTAAGGAATATCATTTTGAAAATAAGCTTGCAACATATAGTAAAAACTGACCATTTCCAAGAAAGTTTTAAATTGCTTCATTAACCAAACTTTATAAAACTTCTCTGTTATGTCCACTTCATACTTCCTCTTTTTTTAATCATAAGACATATGTTAATAAAAACAGTATGCATATATTTTGATTTATAGTGCCAGGAATCAGCCTTCTGATTTTCAAATGTATGTTATATAACACACACTTGACATAAATGTTTTCAAAAATAATATACGTATTTGGCTTCTGAAAACATTCTTTTTGCTTTACATAATTTAAATATATTGTTTTTGCAATTAATATATTTACATTTTGAATATAATAATTTGGTGTATTTTATACATCAGTGTATTTTAAATATCAATTTATTCATCAATATTCCATCTTCAACTGAGATGACATCAATCGATACTCCTAGATATATATCCTCTAATTCAAAATAAATGATCATCTTCACTTCACTGGATGTATTCATCAATAATGGTGTTTGCATTTATTTTAGAAATCTTAACTGTTTCAAGAAGACTGGAGTCAAGGCATGAAAAGTCTCGAGCACAGTTTGATAGGGACTATAAAACTGTCTTAGTACTGTTAGCATTCAGTTTCACTTTACCTAAATAAAGAGCAGATATCACAACAAAATAAAAATGTAATGAGAAATTAGAAGTATTTTTTCAAAATTCATTTTGCCCTTCTTATTGGGAAAATAGTATTTAAACATACGCTTCTTGTATTTCCAAAGAAAAGGTATTGTTTTATAAAAACAGTCCTATCATTGTCTTATTTTATATCTAGATTAAAATTTAATCATTAAAAATAAATGTTATATTTATTTCTAATTCCAATGAAATTACTTGTAGTGTACAGTATTCATGGGAATGTCACACCAATTAATTTGCCCTTTTAGTTTGAGAATCTCGTATTTAATCTATAATACTACAGGATTTTCAACTCCTCTATGCATTCATCCAATCTTTCCAAATGTTCTGAAACTATTTATTTGCTATTTTAGAACTTTGGGTTTATTTAATAATATTAGAATCCTTTTGTTGTTATCCTTTCAAAACTTGTTATTTGATAAAAAAGCATTTGACAAATTCTTTGCAAATTTTAAATAAAGATTTATTCCGCAATCTAAGCAGGGGTCCCCAGCTCCTGGTCCGTGGCTCACTACTGAGCCGTGGCCTATTCAGAATTGGGCTACACAAGGGGCTGGCTGGAGTGTGCACGTGTTTGCGTGTGCAGCTCAACATGTGTGAGCAGTGGACTGGTAGGCTCTTGTGCCTGTGTGCATTGGTCTGTCACTTGTGTTAGTTAAACTGCGCGCATGCATACCAGCCCACCACTCGTGAGAGTTAAGCTTCGCACGTGAGCGCTGGCCTACCACTTACATGAGTTGACCTGCACGTGCTGACCCACCACTAGCACAGCCCAGTTCCCCTCCCCCCTTCAGTCGGGCCACCAAGCCGCAAAAGTTAGGACTGCTGCTCTACAGGGTTTTTGTGCCACAAGGCTTAACTACATTCCTAACATGCAAGCACCCCACATGTAATACATTTCAAAAATCAGTGTAGAATCGGAACAGAGGAATAATTGCTCAAAAATAAAAGTGTTTATTCTGCTCCCTACAGATATGCAATTATGTTGGACCTGCAAAAGTAATAGTGCAGTTAGTCACAAATGGAAAACATGTTCACTTGCATGCTCACAGCTTGGTAGGAAAACACTGTGAGCAGGGAGTTTGCACAGTAAATGCAGGACCAAAGGACATGATAACGGGGTAAGTACCGTATTTTTCGGACTATAAGACGCACCGGTGTATAAGATGCACCAAGATTTCGAAGAGGTAAGTAATAAAAAAAAAGTTTTTGTCTTCCCTGGCTCCCAGGAGCACTCTACAGGCTTCAGCAGGGCTGGGATAAGGCAAAAACGCCTCCGTTTTTCACCCATTTTTCACCAAAACGCGGACATTTTCCCTTCCCCCAGGTCTGCTGAAGCCTGCAGAGTGTTTCTAGGGGGTGGGAGAAGGCAAAAACATCACCATTTTGGTGGAAAACAGCCCGTTTTTCACCCATTTTTCACCAAAATGCGATGCAGGGATGGGGCTTCAGGAAGCCAAAAATGGCTGTATTCGGTGTATAAGACGCACCAACATTTCCACGCTCTTTTAGGGGGGAAAGAGGTGCGTCTTATACTCCAAAATATACGGTAAGTAGTGTTCTTTTAAAGTACAATTTCTTCATAATTATGGTATGTAGATTCAGTTCTACCTAATGTTTTTATCCACTCAATGTTCCCTCTGGCATATGTGTGTGTGTGTGTGTGTGCGCGTGCGCGCGCGTGCATGCATGCATGCATGCAATTAGAATGTAAAGAGATGGGAAAGCGTGCAAGTGCATGGTGGATATCATAGAATAAAATCTTCTGGATGGTTTTCCTTCATTTAGAATTGATATTCATGTAATCTGTGATGAAGTACATTTCCAGGGCATAGCCATGCATGCATGAGCTCACTTTTAAGATATACTCAAATTCCGATGGGAATGTGGTGGTTGTTATTGCTGTGGTTATTTCTAGTGTGCTTTGTTGAGAAGGCTTCAATTATTAGGGAATCTGCTTGCATAATGAAATGAAATTGACTATGGATGTCATGCAGTGGTGGGTTCCGGAACCCGTTGCAACCAGTATGGTGCAACAGGGCCGGGCATCCACCACATGAACGGGTGCAGAGCACACGCACGCAGTGTGCACTTGCATACTTAATGCCCGCTACGCCTCTGCGATGCTCCAGCTGCTCGGTGGAGCATCGCGCAGGCGGCGTACACTCCGTGCACATAAGCCCCAAAACCCTCAAATACTGGTAAGGAATGCGGGCTGGTGGGTGGGCCCTCCAGAGCACCGGAATGGAATGGTACCTGGTGCTCCTAGCAGGCACCGGTACACCCGTACCAGGACATACCAGTCATAACCCACTATTCATGTCATAGTAGAGAAACAAAATGTTATAATACTTTAGTCATATATAATAATAGTCATGTATTTGTTAGTGTTTCCTTATATATGTCTAGCATGAAAACTATGGAAGAAAACCACTCAAGTATTGAGGAAAATAAATGTTTCATTATTCTGAAATAGCTTAAGTCCAAGTGTAATTAGCAAATAATATAATAATTCCTTTTTAAAAAAAATAACACTTGCAAAAATTATTTTTAATTATTGTTAGTTTTTCAACAGTTTTCCTGTTAATTTTTTCCCTTGATTTTCAGACAAAGAACTAAAAATGATAATTAACTCCTTATTCAAAGCTGCCTGATTAATAACTGAATAGCAAAAAAAAATAGAATTCAGAATTTTTATGGAGATGTTTCCTCTCCCCCAAATACATTTCCTAAATTCGATTTCCATTTTTTTCTATTTTATTGGAAGCTCCTCCCCACGCTTCCCTAATTTGTATAGGTTAGCCTGTTTCTTCATTAGTAAATTAAATAAATATCTCTTTACTCAAGTTACATTAAAGTCATTATGATATTGACATAAACATTGGATTTCTTGAACTGTTGCATTCCAAGAACAAAATAGCAAAGGGAATATTAAATCCTAGTTAATCTTCTGCCTTTTTTGAAAGGGCAAATAAAGTATGCATATTATTGTTTCTAGGATTGGATTAGGTTTCAGATAAGTGCTAGTTTGATGTTATATAGGAAGATTTTAGAAATACACACACATGCACACAGGTGCATAGCCAAAGAGAAGCTGTTTTTCGGACTTGAAAGACTCATTCTATTGATGTTAAGAATCACACTATCATCGAATTGAGTGCAAAATCTGTTGTTTGCCATTCTGCTTCTAATCTTAAAAGTTTTATCATATTCTTGCTAAGCGTATTTAAATGAAGAGTATTTAATTTTGAAGTAACTTATCCAAATATCATAACTTATTCGATGCTCTCCTCCTGTTGAAACACAAGCCCTCAAAACCTTTCCCACATTTCAAAAAGCTTTTAGTGAATTTATCCAGTCGGTTTTTATTGGCTATAGATTTTTCCTTCCTCTAAGTTGCTCAAAGGAATTTATTTGCTTTCCACATTTCATTGCACGCTTACAATAGCCCAATTAGGGAGGTTATTGGTTCAAGATTAGGGTGTGAACTATATACAGTACTTGAGTGGCATTTAAACCTGGGTCTTCTTGGTTATGGTCTAATGCAGGGTGTCAAACTCAGTTTCATTGAGGGCTGCATCAGGGTTGTGTTTGACCTCAGGGAGGTGGGGGGCATGACTCTCTGCCAGTGAAAATGGGGTTCAGGGGGCCACAGGGACCCTGCTCCCATTTTCTGCTGTGATGGCCTGCAGCCTTCTGCCAGTGAAAATAGAGCAAGGGGAGGCTGCGCACTCCCCCCTGGGTCCCATTTTTGACCAGGATGACCTCCTACAGCCCTCTGCCAGCAAAAATGGAGCTCGAGCTGCAGGAGACAATCCCGGCTGAAAACGTAGCCTGGGTGGCCCTCCCGACCTCCATTTTTCCTGACAGAGGGACCATGGGCTGGTCCACTGTTTCCAGGGCAGCCCCGCAGGCCAGATCTAAGCTCCCCACAAGCTGGATCATATCTATATAATGATTTGTACTTCTCTACAGATTTCCAAACCTGGGAATATTACATGTTACAAAGAAAAAAGTATTAGACACACTGGAAGCTCGCATGATTGATGCATGTAAAAAAGGGTACAATCCAGGACTCCTCGTTCACCCCGATCTCAATTATATACAAGTGGAAGGCGGAGGGGAGAGGCAGCTAACAGGTAGGTAGAGAGTTATCTCTGTTGCACACGTGTAATAAATGTTATTTTTAAATTCCCCTTCATTATGTTTACAGTAAGCAAGCAATTGTCTCTTTTTTATCATATTTTATGATCAACGCTCAAGAAAAAAAATTATACGGTTCTTCCTTCAAAATTGTTAATATAAGGTTCAGTGGGAAAGAAAATAATTTCTTTTAGGGTGCATATTCCTTTGATTCTTTTTCAGTTTTTGTTTCTGTTGTAGGGATCTCTCTCATCTTTGAACATTATCCACTTCTTTTCCTTTTCTTTATGTCTTGGTCAAAGTAATACTTAGCATTAAGCGTACATAATGTAATTCTTTTTTAACTCCTTTGCATGTCAAGTAGCTGGGTGGGTGATTTTGAACTGAATGGGGAATTTGTGGAATTTCCTATATCTCTTGAAGAAATAGCAGTGGTATGTGTGGGCATGCTTGAGAAGATCAGGGCATATTAAAAAACGGTTCAGAAGAATCACAACATTGAATATAATGTATCTTTACTACCTTGTTTCCCTGAAAATAAGACTTTCCCGGATAATAAGCCCAATCGGGCTTTTGAGCACATGCGCTAAAATAAGCCCTCCCCAAAAATAAGCCCTCCCCAAAAATATTGCAACACAGCAGCAGCCATGAGGTGGCCACGCTCACCGCCTCCTGCACCTCAAAAATAATAAGACCTCCCTGAAAACAAGCCCAAGCATTTATTTTGGGGGTCAAAAGAAAATAAGACCTGTCTTATTTTCGGCGAAACACAGTCGTACGCTTTGGCTTTCATCTGACCACTTGCTTTCTTCACTCAAATGGTTAGATGTCTTCCGAATTCAATTTTGTGCCTGCTTCCCCTTTCACTTACCATGACCGCCATTAAAAGACACCTTGCTACAATAATCCATCGTCTTCTCCATGGTTTTCAGAACGGGAACGGGATATCATTCGTCAGGCAGCAAATCAGCAGACTAAGGAGATGGACCTCAGTGTCGTACGGCTCATGTTCACAGCATTCCTTCCTGATAGCACTGGTAGCTTTACAAGGAGACTTCAGCCTGTCTTGTCTGACCCTATATATGACAGCAGTGAGTGCCTTTTGATTTTGCTTTCCATTCTGGAGCTAAATCCCGTTCTGTAAGCCAAGTCTAGTCTGAATAGGATTTTGTTGCAAGATTGAAAATTCAGGTATGGGCAATTTTGCCTAATTAATATTTTGAAAAAGATATGAAAGGTTTACATTGAAAAAAAACAGAAAAGACTTATGAAGGATTTTCACACTTATGACCCTTGCAGCATCCCTGGGGTCATGTAATCAAAATTTGGGCAACTGGCATGTATTTATGCCAGTTGCAATGTTTGTTTGCCACCTTCAGAGTCACTTAACAACCGTGTTTCTATCTTAATAACTTCAGGGATTCACTTAACAATTGTGGCAAGAAAGGTTGTAAAATGGGGCAAAACTCACTTAACAACTGTCTTCCTTAGCAAAGGAAATTTTGGGCTGAGTTGGTCGTAAATCAAGGAGTATGTAATATTTTCTTATTTTACTCTATGGATCATTGTTGTATATTTTGTAATGCTAAGTTTTGGAGATGATACAGCCAAGTTGGGACAAAATTCTTGTTTTTGAACTAATTAGAAGTTGACTGAATTCTTTCATTAATTTTCTCCCCCCAGAAGCTCCAAATGCATCCAATTTAAAAATTGTTCGGATGGATCGGACTGCAGGCTGTGTAACAGGGGGAGAAGAAGTTTACCTACTTTGTGACAAGGTCCAAAAGGGTGAGAACTCAACACTGCATCTGTCATGCTTGAACATAGTTATATAATCATATTCTGAGAATCAGCAAAGGAGGCCAATAAGGAAAGAGCTGGGTGCTATTAGAACGATTAACTGTTTCTCGGTCTAATTCATTTCACAAGCTTGTTCCAAAAATAAAATGGAATTTAAAAGTAATGCAACTGAATTCGTCAAAGGAAGAATGAGATAAGAAGGCAGCTAAATATAAATTCCAATAAAGGAGAATATTTAGAGCTCGGGGTTGAAATGAGGGGTCCTTTATACTTTCTGAGTTTAGTTGTTTTCTTGCAGACATTTACTACCGGTTCTGTGGGCGTGGCTTGTTGGGCATGCTGTGGCTTGTTGGCGTGGCTTGGTAGGAGAAGGATACTGTAAAATCTCCATTCCCATTCCACTCCAGGGGAAGAATACTATAAAATCTCCATTCCCTTCCTACTCCAGGGGAAGGTTACTGCAAAATCCCCATTTCCTCCTGATCAGCTGGAACTCGGGAGGCAGAGAATAGATGGGGGCAGGGCTAGTCAGAAGTGTTATTTACTGGTTCTCCGAACTACTCAAAATTTCCGCTACCGGTTCTCCAGAACTGGTCAGAACCTGCTGAATACCACGTCTGAAACTATGTAACATTATCAGTGCTAGTTAGTCCTGGCACTGTTGATGTTATCTAGTTTGGGGAATAAATATAGATTACTGTCCAGTTGTTGTTTTTTGGGGGGGGTGGAAAATTTGTACTATAACATTTATTAATAAAATATGTTTCTATATACTGGAAATTTGTAATAATTTTTGAAAGCCAAAAATTGATTTTAATTAGTAATAAGAGACTAGCGTAGTTATAGATTTTTGTAAATGATAAAAATAGAGATATCAAGTTTGTCAAAGTCCTTCCCAATCCAAGATAGGGAAGTGAAATAAATTTCTTAACTGATTTAAATAAGAGTCTGAGTAAATGGAAACTCCAAAGTGGGGTTTTCCCTTAGCAAGTATGTTTTTTCCTCGCAACAGCATTAATTGAAATCTCTCAACGTGTACTGAGAAACATGATATACTTTTTAAAAAATCAATAAACACTTCTATATTAAAGAATTTTATATAGAATCTATTATCAAAAACTCCATAATTAGTAAGAGGAAAAAATTGGCCAACACTCAGAAAGAAAGTACAAGTTTATTAGAGTTGACAGCCTACACATTTTCTCCATTTAGACATTCCCCAAGTATATGGGGACTGTATCTCTACATCTATGTAATTTTTGACATAGGATACATGAACCTGTTTTAGTAGCCACTATAAACTGATTTATTTTAATTAATCAAGAAAAAAGGAAACATTAGGTACAATATTGTTAACAATACGTTTTTGTGGTAGTACTTCTTAAGAAAATATTGTAACCTTTGTTGACTAAATATTTGTGATTGTTGTGCACAATTTGTAATTTTCATTATATTTACTGTATATGGTTCCAAGGATGCAAGACAGGAAGAAAAAGCAACAATTTAAGAATCATTAAGGTTCTTCCTGCACAATTGAATTACATTGATACTGGAGTTGTTTTTTTAACTCCAAATTTGCACTTTTCCCCAAAAAGACAATCCATTTGGGAATACTTCATAGTATACTGGACATCCTAAAAACTTTTCCCTTCCTCGAGGGTAATACTTCTGTTAATGAGTCCAATTAATTAGCTGCTTCCCCAATCCTTTTCAAAACTTTTTCCATAGTTTTGAAGATCTTGTATTTTATTTCTATTCTTCACAGGGTTACTTCGGTATTTAGCAGTGGTGGGTTGCAGGCAGTACGCCTCAGTACAGGTGTACCGGAGCCTGCCTGGAGCACCAGATACCGTTCCTGTATGGTGCTCCGGAGGGCCCACCCTCCCACCCGAGCTCCTTACTGGACTTTTAAGTCTTTGGCGCTTATGCGCATGTGCACAGCACGTACAGCGCCAGCACAATGCTCTGCTGAGCAGTTGGAGCATCGCAGAGGCGGTAAGATGCATGCATGTGTGCTGCGCACATCCATGTGTATGCTGCCGGGCCCGTTCCAACCGTACCGGTTGGAACAAGATCTGGAACCTACCACTGGTATTTAGCATATGATGAGAAAACGATAGAAAAGAAGTAAACATATACACACAATCCATGGAATTATGTAGAAAAACTCTACAGGGGTATGGCACAGGCCTCATAATTGGATGTCCAGTTCAGCTATCTAGGTGATCATTTTTGGTGGTTGTTTCATACACATCTTCTAGAGAACCAAAGAACCCATGTTGTGGGCAATCTTGCGCAATATGTTTAATAGTTTGCACATCAGCACCACAATTGCAACAAGGTTGCAAGGTTCAAGGTTCAAAAGTTTTATTTTCTTTTAAAAAGTTTTATTTTCTTTTAAAACAAACATTTCATCATTCCTCAATCANTAAGATTTCATTTGAGGGGCCTTTCCCACTCCCAAGTTATAGTGCTGCCTGCCTATTGTTGAATCAGTATAAAACTATACCAATAAATATGTTTTTCCTATGGCCGGTCCCCATCCTACCTTTATTGTTTCTGTTATCACTCTGGATCAACATATAGGTCAGTGGCCCTCAACCTCCAGGGACCAGTTCAGTGGAGGGTGGTTTTACCATGAACCGTGTGTGTGTGTGTGTGTGTGTTGTGTTGTGTGTGTGTTGTGTGTTACTTGGATGAGCAGATGAGGATTCGTTCGCTTCCATGCCCCAGTTCCTGGTAGACCAGGAACTGATACTTGTCCACAGACCCCGGTGTGTGTGTGTGTGTCGCTGATAAAGGTGACAAAAGTGTAACCGATATTATGCACTATAGGGGCTGCCTTTGTACAGTGTTGGAAAAAGAAACACAATACTATATCGAAAATACAACTAACAATAAATAATATTTGAATGCATAGATGAACACAAATGGATTGGAAATCTATATCTATAAAAATAGCTGTGTGTGTTTGTGTGTGTGTGTTTTCATTCATTCGTTCGTTCCAGCATAACTGGAACACTTCAAGCAGTTTCAACCAAACTTGGTACACAGGTGACTTACTCTCTGGAGAAAAATACTGTGGGGGTAAGACACCCCTAACATCCCTGGGGGGGTGTTCTGTTAAGATACAGCCTGTTGTGCCATACTATCATAATGGCTTCTACTGTATAGGACAGTGGAGTTGCCATGGTAACAGCTTCACAGTACTCCATAAGGAGACTCCCTCTGGTAAGGGGAAAAATCCAACATTAGGAATTCTGTTTGGTCCAGACATTTTTCCCCTATAAATAAATACCAGGCAACGCCAGGACTAGTAAGAGTATAAAATGAGCCACAGCTGGCCCATCTGAATTCAGCATTTTTTTTCTGATAGTGGGGAACCAGTTGCCCATAGATACCTGAAATGAATTTGGATAAGCCTGTTAATAGTTTTAAAAACTTTTAAAGTTGAAATATTAAACATTTTTAAAAAGTTTAATATGTTTTAAATATTCACTAATAATATGTTTAGGTTTGTATGTTTCCATTCCGGGAAACATACATTGGAATCATAATCATTGTATTAAAAAAGTTGTTTTTGGTATCACCATGACAGAATTTGTTCACACAGAATTTATGAGTGAAAGTTTTCATAACGACTTTTGCTTTCCTTTTTATTTCCTGTTCTTGTTTAAGGAATATCATTTTGAAAATAAGCTTGCAACATATAGTAAAAACTGACCATTTCCAAGAAAGTTTTAAATTGCTTCATTAACCAAACTTTATAAAACTTCTCTGTTATGTCCACTTCATACTTCCTCTTTTTTTAATCATAAGACATATGTTAATAAAAACAGTATGCATATATTTTGATTTATAGTGCCAGGAATCAGCCTTCTGATTTTCAAATGTATGTTATATAACACACACTTGACATAAATGTTTTCAAAAATAATATACGTATTTGGCTTCTGAAAACATTCTTTTTGCTTTACATAATTTAAATATATTGTTTTTGCAATTAATATATTTACATTTTGAATATAATAATTTGGTGTATTTTATACATCAGTGTATTTTAAATATCAATTTATTCATCAATATTCCATCTTCAACTGAGATGACATCAATCGATACTCCTAGATATATATCCTCTAATTCAAAATAAATGATCATCTTCACTTCACTGGATGTATTCATCAATAATGGTGTTTGCATTTATTTTAGAAATCTTAACTGTTTCAAGAAGACTGGAGTCAAGGCATGAAAAGTCTCGAGCACAGTTTGATAGGGACTATAAAACTGTCTTAGTACTGTTAGCATTCAGTTTCACTTTACCTAAATAAAGAGCAGATATCACAACAAAATAAAAATGTAATGAGAAATTAGAAGTATTTTTTCAAAATTCATTTTGCCCTTCTTATTGGGAAAATAGTATTTAAACATACGCTTCTTGTATTTCCAAAGAAAAGGTATTGTTTTATAAAAACAGTCCTATCATTGTCTTATTTTATATCTAGATTAAAATTTAATCATTAAAAATAAATGTTATATTTATTTCTAATTCCAATGAAATTACTTGTAGTGTACAGTATTCATGGGAATGTCACACCAATTAATTTGCCCTTTTAGTTTGAGAATCTCGTATTTAATCTATAATACTACAGGATTTTCAACTCCTCTATGCATTCATCCAATCTTTCCAAATGTTCTGAAACTATTTATTTGCTATTTTAGAACTTTGGGTTTATTTAATAATATTAGAATCCTTTTGTTGTTATCCTTTCAAAACTTGTTATTTGATAAAAAAGCATTTGACAAATTCTTTGCAAATTTTAAATAAAGATTTATTCCGCAATCTAAGCAGGGGTCCCCAGCTCCTGGTCCGTGGCTCACTACTGAGCCGTGGCCTATTCAGAATTGGGCTACACAAGGGGCTGGCTGGAGTGTGCACGTGTTTGCGTGTGCAGCTCAACATGTGTGAGCAGTGGACTGGTAGGCTCTTGTGCCTGTGTGCATTGGTCTGTCACTTGTGTTAGTTAAACTGCACGCATGCATACCAGCCCACCACTCGTGAGAGTTAAGCTTCGCACGTGAGCGCTGGCCTACCACTTACATGAGTTGACCTGCACGTGCTGACCCACCACTAGCACAGCCCAGTTCCCCTCCCCCCTTCAGTCGGGCCACCAAGCCGCAAAAGTTAGGACTGCTGCTCTACAGGGTTTTTGTGCCACAAGGCTTAACTACATTCCTAACATGCAAGCACCCCACATGTAATACATTTCAAAAATCAGTGTAGAATCGGAACAGAGGAATAATTGCTCAAAAATAAAAGTGTTTATTCTGCTCCCTACAGATATGCAATTATGTTGGACCTGCAAAAGTAATAGTGCAGTTAGTCACAAATGGAAAACATGTTCACTTGCATGCTCACAGCTTGGTAGGAAAACACTGTGAGCAGGGAGTTTGCACAGTAAATGCAGGACCAAAGGACATGATAACGGGGTAAGTACCGTATTTTTCGGACTATAAGACGCACCGGTGTATAAGATGCACCAAGATTTCGAAGAGGTAAGTAATAAAAAAAAAGTTTTTGTCTTCCCTGGCTCCCAGGAGCACTCTACAGGCTTCAGCAGGGCTGGGATAAGGCAAAAACGCCTCCGTTTTTCACCCATTTTTCACCAAAACGCGGACATTTTCCCTTCCCCCAGGTCTGCTGAAGCCTGCAGAGTGTTTCTAGGGGGTGGGAGAAGGCAAAAACATCACCATTTTGGTGGAAAACAGCCCGTTTTTCACCCATTTTTCACCAAAATGCGATGCAGGGATGGGGCTTCAGGAAGCCAAAAATGGCTGTATTCGGTGTATAAGACGCACCAACATTTCCACGCTCTTTTAGGGGGGAAAGAGGTGCGTCTTATACTCCAAAATATACGGTAAGTAGTGTTCTTTTAAAGTACAATTTCTTCATAATTATGGTATGTAGATTCAGTTCTACCTAATGTTTTTATCCACTCAATGTTCCCTCTGGCATATGTGTGTGTGTGTGTGTGTGCGCGTGCGCGCGCGTGCATGCATGCATGCATGCAATTAGAATGTAAAGAGATGGGAAAGCGTGCAAGTGCATGGTGGATATCATAGAATAAAATCTTCTGGATGGTTTTCCTTCATTTAGAATTGATATTCATGTAATCTGTGATGAAGTACATTTCCAGGGCATAGCCATGCATGCATGAGCTCACTTTTAAGATATACTCAAATTCCGATGGGAATGTGGTGGTTGTTATTGCTGTGGTTATTTCTAGTGTGCTTTGTTGAGAAGGCTTCAATTATTAGGGAATCTGCTTGCATAATGAAATGAAATTGACTATGGATGTCATGCAGTGGTGGGTTCCGGAACCCGTTGCAACCAGTATGGTGCAACAGGGCCGGGCATCCACCACATGAACGGGTGCAGAGCACACGCACGCAGTGTGCACTTGCATACTTAATGCCCGCTACGCCTCTGCGATGCTCCAGCTGCTCGGTGGAGCATCGCGCAGGCGGCGTACACTCCGTGCACATAAGCCCCAAAACCCTCAAATACTGGTAAGGAATGCGGGCTGGTGGGTGGGCCCTCCAGAGCACCGGAATGGAATGGTACCTGGTGCTCCTAGCAGGCACCGGTACACCCGTACCAGGACATACCAGTCATAACCCACTATTCATGTCATAGTAGAGAAACAAAATGTTATAATACTTTAGTCATATATAATAATAGTCATGTATTTGTTAGTGTTTCCTTATATATGTCTAGCATGAAAACTATGGAAGAAAACCACTCAAGTATTGAGGAAAATAAATGTTTCATTATTCTGAAATAGCTTAAGTCCAAGTGTAATTAGCAAATAATATAATAATTCCTTTTTAAAAAAAATAACACTTGCAAAAATTATTTTTAATTATTGTTAGTTTTTCAACAGTTTTCCTGTTAATTTTTTCCCTTGATTTTCAGACAAAGAACTAAAAATGATAATTAACTCCTTATTCAAAGCTGCCTGATTAATAACTGAATAGCAAAAAAAAATAGAATTCAGAATTTTTATGGAGATGTTTCCTCTCCCCCAAATACATTTCCTAAATTCGATTTCCATTTTTTTCTATTTTATTGGAAGCTCCTCCCCACGCTTCCCTAATTTGTATAGGTTAGCCTGTTTCTTCATTAGTAAATTAAATAAATATCTCTTTACTCAAGTTACATTAAAGTCATTATGATATTGACATAAACATTGGATTTCTTGAACTGTTGCATTCCAAGAACAAAATAGCAAAGGGAATATTAAATCCTAGTTAATCTTCTGCCTTTTTTGAAAGGGCAAATAAAGTATGCATATTATTGTTTCTAGGATTGGATTAGGTTTCAGATAAGTGCTAGTTTGATGTTATATAGGAAGATTTTAGAAATACACACACATGCACACAGGTGCATAGCCAAAGAGAAGCTGCTTTTCGGACTTAAAAGACTCATTCTATTGATGTTAAGAATCACACTATCATCGAATTGAGTGCAAAATCTGTTGTTTGCCATTCTGCTTCTAATCTTAAAAGTTTTATCATATTCTTGCTAAGCGTATTTAAATGAAGAGTATTTAATTTTGAAGTAACTTATCCAAATATCATAACTTATTCGATGCTCTCCTCCTGTTGAAACACAAGCCCTCAAAACCTTTCCCACATTTCAAAAAGCTTTTAGTGAATTTATCCAGTCGGTTTTTATTGGCTATAGATTTTTCCTTCCTCTAAGTTGCTCAAAGGAATTTATTTGCTTTCCACATTTCATTGCACGCTTACAATAGCCCAATTAGGGAGGTTATTGGTTCAAGATTAGGGTGTGAACTATATACAGTACTTGAGTGGCATTTAAACCTGGGTCTTCTTGGTTATGGTCTAATGCAGGGTGTCAAACTCAGTTTCATTGAGGGCTGCATCAGGGTTGTGTTTGACCTCAGGGAGGTGGGGGGCATGACTCTCTGCCAGTGAAAATGGGGTTCAGGGGGCCACAGGGACCCTGCTCCCATTTTCTGCTGTGATGGCCTGCAGCCTTCTGCCAGTGAAAATAGAGCAAGGGGAGGCTGCGCACTCCCCCCTGGGTCCCATTTTTGACCAGGATGACCTCCTACAGCCCTCTGCCAGCAAAAATGGAGCTCGAGCTGCAGGAGACAATCCCGGCTGAAAACGTAGCCTGGGTGGCCCTCCCGACCTCCATTTTTCCTGACAGAGGGACCATGGGCTGGTCCACTGTTTCCAGGGCAGCCCCGCAGGCCAGATCTAAGCTCCCCACAAGCTGGATCATATCTATATAATGATTTGTACTTCTCTACAGATTTCCAAACCTGGGAATATTACATGTTACAAAGAAAAAAGTATTAGACACACTGGAAGCTCGCATGATTGATGCATGTAAAAAAGGGTACAATCCAGGACTCCTCGTTCACCCCGATCTCAATTATATACAAGTGGAAGGCGGAGGGGAGAGGCAGCTAACAGGTAGGTAGAGAGTTATCTCTGTTGCACACGTGTAATAAATGTTATTTTTAAATTCCCCTTCATTATGTTTACAGTAAGCAAGCAATTGTCTCTTTTTTATCATATTTTATGATCAACGCTCAAGAAAAAAAATTATACGGTTCTTCCTTCAAAATTGTTAATATAAGGTTCAGTGGGAAAGAAAATAATTTCTTTTAGGGTGCATATTCCTTTGATTCTTTTTCAGTTTTTGTTTCTGTTGTAGGGATCTCTCTCATCTTTGAACATTATCCACTTCTTTTCCTTTTCTTTATGTCTTGGTCAAAGTAATACTTAGCATTAAGCGTACATAATGTAATTCTTTTTTAACTCCTTTGCATGTCAAGTAGCTGGGTGGGTGATTTTGAACTGAATGGGGAATTTGTGGAATTTCCTATATCTCTTGAAGAAATAGCAGTGGTATGTGTGGGCATGCTTGAGAAGATCAGGGCATATTAAAAAACGGTTCAGAAGAATCACAACATTGAATATAATGTATCTTTACTACCTTGTTTCCCTGAAAATAAGACTTTCCCGGATAATAAGCCCAATCGGGCTTTTGAGCACATGCGCTAAAATAAACCCTCCCCAAAAATAAGCCCTCCCCAAAAATATTGCAACACAGCAGCAGCCATGAGGTGGCCACGCTCACCGCCTCCTGCACCTCAAAAATAATAAGACCTCCCTGAAAACAAGCCCAAGCATTTATTTTGGGGGTCAAAAGAAAATAAGACCTGTCTTATTTTCGGCGAAACACAGTCGTACGCTTTGGCTTTCATCTGACCACTTGCTTTCTTCACTCAAATGGTTAGATGTCTTCCGAATTCAATTTTGTGCCTGCTTCCCCTTTCACTTACCATGACCGCCATTAAAAGACACCTTGCTACAATAATCCATCGTCTTCTCCATGGTTTTCAGAACGGGAACGGGATATCATTCGTCAGGCAGCAAATCAGCAGACTAAGGAGATGGACCTCAGTGTCGTACGGCTCATGTTCACAGCATTCCTTCCTGATAGCACTGGTAGCTTTACAAGGAGACTTCAGCCTGTCTTGTCTGACCCTATATATGACAGCAGTGAGTGCCTTTTGATTTTGCTTTCCATTCTGGAGCTAAATCCCGTTCTGTAAGCCAAGTCTAGTCTGAATAGGATTTTGTTGCAAGATTGAAAATTCAGGTATGGGCAATTTTGCCTAATTAATATTTTGAAAAAGATATGAAAGGTTTACATTGAAAAAAAACAGAAAAGACTTATGAAGGATTTTCACACTTATGACCCTTGCAGCATCCCTGGGGTCATGTAATCAAAATTTGGGCAACTGGCATGTATTTATGCCAGTTGCAATGTTTGTTTGCCACCTTCAGAGTCACTTAACAACCGTGTTTCTATCTTAATAACTTCAGGGATTCACTTAACAATTGTGGCAAGAAAGGTTGTAAAATGGGGCAAAACTCACTTAACAACTGTCTTCCTTAGCAAAGGAAATTTTGGGCTGAGTTGGTCGTAAATCAAGGAGTATGTAATATTTTCTTATTTTACTCTATGGATCATTGTTGTATATTTTGTAATGCTAAGTTTTGGAGATGATACAGCCAAGTTGGGACAAAATTCTTGTTTTTGAACTAATTAGAAGTTGACTGAATTCTTTCATTAATTTTCTCCCCCCAGAAGCTCCAAATGCATCCAATTTAAAAATTGTTCGGATGGATCGGACTGCAGGCTGTGTAACAGGGGGAGAAGAAGTTTACCTACTTTGTGACAAGGTCCAAAAGGGTGAGAACTCAACACTGCATCTGTCATGCTTGAACATAGTTATATAATCATATTCTGAGAATCAGCAAAGGAGGCCAATAAGGAAAGAGCTGGGTGCTATTAGAACGATTAACTGTTTCTCGGTCTAATTCATTTCACAAGCTTGTTCCAAAAATAAAATGGAATTTAAAAGTAATGCAACTGAATTCGTCAAAGGAAGAATGAGATAAGAAGGCAGCTAAATATAAATTCCAATAAAGGAGAATATTTAGAGCTCGGGGTTGAAATGAGGGGTCCTTTATACTTTCTGAGTTTAGTTGTTTTCTTGCAGACATTTACTACCGGTTCTGTGGGCGTGGCTTGTTGGGCATGCTGTGGCTTGTTGGCGTGGCTTGGTAGGAGAAGGATACTGTAAAATCTCCATTCCCATNAAATAAAAATTCCCATTGTATTCATATTTTACAAAAATCATTCTCTTTTTAGTTAAAAGAATTATTTGTGAATGTCCAATATGTTATTAACTATTTTATGGCCTTGCATGCATGAGATGTGTGTATGTATGTATGTATGTATGTATGTATGTATGTATGTATGTATGTGTAAACGCACATACATTTTCTTTCTGTGGATATAGAAATTATTGCTTTCTTGTTGGGCATATCACATTCAACTGGATTTATTCTTAATTAAGAATAAATAAATGCACTTATTTGTTCTTGATTAACTATTTGAATTAGTATTGCTTAAGAGTAAATTAATGTACTAGCCTTAGGCTTGTATTTACAGTGATAAACACCGTACCAGGTAGTGCATTTCTGGGTGAATACATGTTATAAGTATCTATAGATGCCACTGTTTTAACTTTAAAAGATAAGAAAATGCCTTCTTTATATTTGTTTTTATTACTTATAATCTGGATTTTTTTCACTTGGCACAAGCCAAAAATGTACATACTGCCATAGAGATTCATCAGACCAAAACATCATGCAGATAATTTTGTCACGTGGAACTATTTAATAATACACTTGAATCAGTAGTTCATATGTGAATCCTGTTCATCTGGGGAAAAAAACTACAATTAATGAAGTGTAACCTTTTAATCTTTCTGTTCTTCTTTTAGGATATGGGTACCCATCATATGGGTTTTCCAGTTATGGCGCAATGCATTTCCATTCCAGCACAAACAAAAGTGGTGCAGGAATGAAACACGGTAAAAATCAAAGGTTTTCCCCCCTTATTTGTGCTATGCATTGGAATATTATTTTTGTTATTACTATTAGTAGTTAAGTAACCTAAACCTGGTTACACAAATTCGTTTAATTTTTGTAGTATTTAATTCTGTCTATAAGTATAGTCTTTGTAAAGGAACAAGGTTGATGGCTTCCAGACCACACAATCTAAACTATCCACACAGCCAGCAACCTAGGAAGGAAATATGAAAAAGGAAAGAATGGGTTTGCCCAGATCATAGTTACTGTAGGGTTGTGATGGCGAACCTATTGCACACGTGCCAGAGGTGGCATGTAAGGCCCTCTCTGTAGGCATGTGTGCTATTGCCAACTGTTCTTTTGGTTTCAGGTGCACGCATGCATGCCGGCCAGCTGGTCTTTGCGTGTGCTTGAGCACTGGAAACCCAAAGACCAGCTGGCCAGTGTTCATGTGTGTGTCAGAAACCCAAAGATCAGGTGGCTAGTGCGTGCATGCACACCAGGCACCTGGTCTTTGGGTTTCCGGTGCATGCACGCACATGCGTTTCAGTTTGGGTACTCTGTGCCAAAAAGGTTCACCATCACTGCTGTAGGGCAAGGCTTGAATTGTATTGGATCCCCTGAAATAGGATCTAGACCAGGGGTGTCAAACTCAAGGCCCTGAGGCCAAATTCGTCTCACAAGGTGCTTAGATCTGGAAAACAGCAGAGGGCTGACCCGCAGTGCCTCTGCCAGTGAGAACAGCTCAGGAGGGCCACTTCTCGAGCTCCATTTTCACTGACAGAGGATTGCAGCTGAAAACGGAGCTCAGGAGCGTATTTTCCCTGGCACAACACTCAGACCACCACAAATGCCCCTGACATGAGTGATGTCAAGCTGGTCATGCCCATCCCGGCCCCCTGAGGTCAAACACAACCCTGATGTGGCCCTTAATGAAATCGAGTTTGACACCCCTGATCTAGACTGAATGCTAGACAAAGCCAGGGTTAGAACCAGAAAAAGATAGGACGAAGTCTAGTGTTAAATGGAACATCACTTTGCTCTTTATCCATCACCTTCTCTTCAGTTTTCTTTTTCTTTTTTCTTTGGGCTTCAGTTCCTTTCTTAAAAATACAAAATACAAATCTATCTTTGATAATTATACTTTTATAAAAATCCAAAATCTAAATGTTTTTATTTGTGGTAGTAAAGAATCATAATATACCCTGCAGAGGAAAGGAAAGTTTCTTTTAAAAAATCTACACAGAAATTACACACACACACACACACACACACACACACACACACACAGAGACAGACAGACAGACAGACAGACAGACACAAACACACACAAAATCCTTTAAAGCCAACAGAATAGTTTTTCTATTATTGCAAATATGTTACAACATATTTCAGGAAAGTCACAATCTACAGGGAACAGTGTTATCCTCACTAGACAATCACCCTCCGAATCTCAAACAAACACACACTCACAGCATCCACTTGCAGCAGCCAAGCGTAGNAATATGGTAGTCTTTGCAACCCAACCCAGCCCATTTCAAGCCATCCTGGACCTGAGATTCCCACCCCTGCATTAAACCAGAGGGTGAATATGAATCATGACCATATTATTCATGTTTTCTCACAGATGATATTCAAATCCGTTTTTATGAAGAAGATGAAAGTGGTGGTGTCTGGGAAGGTTTTGGAGACTTTTCGCCTACTGATGTGCACAGACAGGTAAGTCCTTTTGGCAAGGAATCCGACTGATAGCATATACAACAAGTTTTAATGTGAGGTCTTTAATTTCTAACAGTTCTCAGGGTTTGAAAACCTGATCAGAGTTCACTTCCTATTATTTCAATGAAGTAGTAATTAAGGTACAGAGATGTATAAACCGCAGAGAAGATAATATAATATGCAAATATATTCAATATATAAATTATTACATTGCACCGTATTTATCTTGATCATCTGTACCATGATTGCTTACAGTTTGCAATAGTATTCAAAACACCGAAGTATCGAGATGTCAACATCACGAAAGCAGCATCTGTTTTTGTTCAATTACGGCGAAAGTCAGATCTAGAGACAAGCGAACCAAAGCCTTTTCTGTATTATCCTGAAATCAAAGGTAATTATCAATGCTGTGTTATGTTGCCCATTGTAGAAGACATGCATCTTTTTTAGAAAACCATCAGTGTTGGAATTCTTCTACCTATTGTAATATGTTGCATATTAGTTAATATTATGGATCATATTTATGATCATATAAATGATCACGTGACCACCTTTTGTAACCTTCTGACAAGCAAAGTCGATGGGGAAGCCAGAATCATTTAATACTGTTACTAATTTAACAACTGCAGTGATTCACTTAACAACTATGACAAGAAATGTCATAATTCACTTATCAAATGTAGCGACAAAATTGGGGACTCATTTGTGGTGATAAGTTGAGGACTATTTGTATGGAGATTTGTTGGAATGATTGGTGGTGATGGTGGTTATTGTAGAAGCTTCCCATATTTCTTTTCCAGTCCATGAATAAAATGCTCCACCACTTAGTAATTTCCACAAAGGAAAAGCTATTCCATCTTAACAAGAAAAGCCATTTATTTTCAAATTTGCAACTTTCTGAACACTCTAATTACATCACTGCTGTTCTTTTGTAGCCTTGGGCTACTTTTCTATTAGTCAGAATTCTCAGTAAACTTCCCAGCTCCTGGATTCAATTTAACCCTTTAAATTCCCTGTAAACCAACGACAAACACGTAGCAGCTAAAATCAACGTCTCTTTCCTGATATTTGTGAAAACTTTCCCTCCATAACTAGTTTATTAACAGTATTTTTCTTCATTCACAACATCTGTAGCAGATCCTGTGCACACTAATTAGCCAATGATTTCTTAAAGTTCCAGAGTTAAAAATATAAGCAACTAGCTGATAACCTGGCATTGCCTGGGTATTTACTTATAGGGGGAAAATGCCCGGACCAAGCGTAATTTCTAATGTTGGATTTTCCCCCTTACCAGAGGGAGCCCCCTTCTGGAATACTGTGAAGCCGTTACCATTGCAACTCAACTGCGCTGTACAGTAGAAGCCATTTTAAGGCACAATAAGCTGTATCTTAATAGAGGACACACCCCGAGAGGTGTTATGGGTATCTTAGCCCCCCAGTATTTTTCTCCAGAGAGTAAGTCATCTGTGTACCAAGTTTGATTGAAATTACTCGAGGTGTTCCAGAGTTATGCTGGAGAACACACACACACACACACACACACACACACACACACACAGAGCCATTTTTATATATGAGACCAAAGATTGTAGTGTTGTAAAAATTAGTCCCCATTCTAAAGAAAGCCAATAAAACTACACTGACTTAATTTTATCATGCCTTTTAAAGATGGGAAACTTAAGCTTGATGTCTATCTTAAGTTCTTAATGGATGCACCCAAGTTGGATTTCTTGAGAAAAACCCATAACTAATTCGAGTAAGCTGTATTAACGCAGGATTCCTTAAAAGTGTAATTGGCTCTTTTTTGTTTGAATGAATGAATTCGCGTTTATCTATTATCTAAGTTTTGGTTTTGTTGTTTTGACAAGAAATATCTTTAGCAATATTGTCATATCAGTTGTGAAATATCTATGTGTCACATTAATCGGGAGCAGGAAGAACAGAATAATGATTCTTGGATAATAGAAAGGGAGTATTATTGATTACAG